AGACGTGTACCATATATGGCGCACGTCGCAGTTTGGGACATCACTGCATGTAACACATATGGCGCACGTTGCAGTCAAAGTGTTAAAGCGAGCTTCAGGGCAAGACCAGAAGGTACATTGTTCCACACCTCTATCGGCGACCCCCACATATTCACAGCACTGACTGCACACAACTTGATTATCCCTTGTTACTTTTTTACCTATACGCATATTAATGTGTAAAAGAAAGTCTTCTGTCAACTGTACTGACCTGCACATTCGCAGCCTTGTTGAACGTGTCGGCCAGGTGTTCCATTACGCGAACCGTGACACCAGAACCGGTCCCACCTCCGGTGCTGTGGTTGACGACAAAGCCCTGACACATGTCTGTGGCCTCCACCTCCTTGCGCACTCGCTCCACTATCGGGTCCATGATTTGAGCTCCGAGGATAAAGCGTCCGCGCGCGTAGTTGTTTGCAGCCTCCTCCTTGCCATGAATGAAAGAGCAGGGGTTGAATAGGCTGCGAAATAGTCCATTTTGAACTTCATCTACGAAAAAAGAATGACACAAATTCCCGGTAGATGAAAGTAGCAGTATAATTGTTCCCTTGGTGAATAGTATTAAATAACTGCATTTTGAATTATAAATAAATAAATTGTGTTTGTAAGGCCCAAGGCGTCCTCTCAGTACAAACTTAGTACTATGGTAAAAATAAATACAATTTGGTAAATTACAGCTGCGCGTAAGCAACTTTATAACAACAGGAATGAGTACTATGTTATAAATATTAAGTCAGATCCGATTTACAACGGACCCTTGTTTAAAAGTATAGTCGACCATATTAGGTAAATATGGTGAACTGAGAAAGAGGCAGTGAAAAAATCCTAAAACTTAAATCTGTGGCACAGTTCAACGAGTCACCGATTTCCAAAAAATATATGAGCAAAAAACTACTTCAATGGTTAGTTAGATTAAGATAGTATGTTATGCTGTAGTGAGATGGGATCGTAATCTTTAGGGTTTGGAACCCTCCTTCTCGTGGGAAAAATCATATAAGATCATGATGTGACACAAGAGGAGCTCATCGGAGACAACAGGGTCGACATGAGATGGAAACAATAGAAGTCCTGATAACATCACTGAGATCCTGGAGATACGACCGAGCATACTACAGAGTCTACCGACAAGTCGGTGTAAACTTAATAACCCGCGATGTAAGATCCCTGCAGCCAAAACACCATACGCCGTCACATAAACTATCATTCTGGTAATGTGGGTACTTTTGAAAGCTTACTTCGATTAGTTGCACTGGAAACACATTTCAGCACTTTAATCAAATAACCCGGTCGGTGTTATGAGAAAGATGAAAGGCATGTGAGGAAGTTGCATCTATTTACCTAGATATAAAACGTAACGATTTTAGTTGAAGGGAAAACAGTCACTTCGATAAACTCACCGGTTTGCGAAGCAGAATTCCTTTAATAACAATAAATTGTTCTAAAGCTTAAAAGTATATTTAATTCTTATATTCAGAAAAAACCTCTACACAGTTTTTACCAAGTCGATGGAAAATGTTTCCACACGTTTAAATATCACGTAAATTGTGCTGGACCGCCTTGTTCGAAGCGAGTCAGAAAGCTATCTATGGATATAAGAGAACACTATGGCGTCTACCGGGTATGCAGTGCTTGATGGGCAAAGCGGAACATATATTGACAATGGAGTGTTAGTGATTGGTGATCTGATTTCTGCATCCCATAATCAATTTTCCAAAGAATGACTAATCGTAATCCCTAGATATCCTGTTCGCTGGACAGACGGGTAACTGACTACTAGAGGAGTGATATACATCGAATTTGAAATACCGGACTGCTCATGATGCCTGTGATGCAATGATACCCCCGGCGCTCTATCAGTCTAAGATCGAGACTATAATATTTGTAAATTGAACGTCAAATAAAATACTTAAATTTACCTAGCAGCTAAGCAAAGTACGAAAAATTCAAAAATGTTATCCCAATGTAGTCATCCAGGTCTGCTTATTTTGTTTTAACCCACTTCGGCAGACAGTTAACATATTTTTTCTAAATTTCTTTCGCTTGGAATAATATACAAAGCTTTTCACCTTTTCTTCGTGGTAGTCCCGGTCGACGTTCGCATAGCATTGATATTTAATGAACGAATTCGTGTATTTCTATTTATATAATGACATTCGTAAACACCCAAGAATCTAGAATGCATTTCCTAGAGGATAACAACGAAAGACGATCATTCAGGACACTGTCACTGATGTCCTACGAAATTGGATCTTTCAGACTTGTCGATGACCTGAACTGTAATCACAAAATCTCTGGAAAATTAAACTTGTGAGGTCCCAACTTCATTGCCTTAAGTTATATATTACCCTCATGATTAGGTATGAAGACAACACTAAAAACTAGAGTCATCTTAAAGAAATCAAAGTTAAAGATTGATTTCAATAAACGGATATATAGCAGTTGATGACGTTTTTGTCTCATATATAGATCAGGTGTAAAGGTATATTCTTACAGCTAGGTTTTCCTGAATCTATTAGGAAGTATATACGATAATGGTGGCATAGATGCGTACACCGATCTGTCAGACGACCCACTCGTCCTTCCGTATTGCCATTAGAACTTCCTTTCGAGCCTCCACCGCCAGGCGGCTAGGATACAGGCAGTAGGACATGACCAGCAAAGACATGGGACACAA